TCTACAGTTTGATACCAAACTTATCGACATAAGTTCATGAAATAGTAGTTCAATAAAATTTTGAATACGAGTAAACAAACAAGATCACATGGCCTTTCACCTGTGACCCATCTCGAAAGGGTTAAAGACATAACTCAAGACTTTTAAATCTCAGATTAAACAGAGACATAGCTGAAGTCTTGAATCCTGCACCTCACATTAAACAAATGTAGTTCAAGCCTTTATTCTACACATCACATTAAACAGATACAAATCAAACCTTGATTTCTACACCTCCCATATATTAAAAAACACATAAAAAGGCTCCCCATAGTTACAATTACAACTAAAATCAATCAAATAGAAAAACTATCATAAATACTTACGCACTAAGAGCTCCACCTCCTTTAGCATGTCCATCTAATTTTGTGACAATTACAGCTCCTACATCTACTTTCTCTTTAAAGGCACGTGCCTATAAAACAAGACCAAAATATATATTGAATAATATAACAAGAATATTACTTAAGGATAGAAAAAATTTAGTATATTGAGAACTACAAATGGCAATACAGAGAATAGATTGAAACTTCAAGATATTTTTGGCAACCAACTTTTTTGGGTAAGGCAAGTGTCACATCTTTCAACTTATAAGGATGATCTGACTGAACACAAAAGAGCTCAGGGTATTAATGAGAAAATAAGATCACTGTGACATGCCAGTTTACTTATAAGACAGAGCTGAAGGAGGCCAAACACACCAGTGTAAGTACTAGTTGCTTACCTATATACAAAATGGTGCAGATGAAATGAGACACAGTAAGGTACAAAAAAAAAGACCTGAAGAACATGACAAATAATGTATATTTAACAAGAGGAATAGGAGGGAAATGGACATAATATGACAAATGATGAATCCAATAATACAATATCCCTCTCGTTATTTTTATTTTGGGGGAAATTTTTCTGTATTTTTATCACCAAAATTATAACAACTTTATAACTTATGTTGAAAATGCTTGTTCCCCAGTTGCATTGAGTAAAATCTTTATCAAATGCATTTAGTAATGTAACTTCCACATATGCTGCATTCTAGTTTTTTGCTTACCACTGCCAGTGTTTCTCCATTTCTTGATAAGGTTATGAATAGTACTGTTACAAAAATGAATAGCTTGGTTACAAAAATGGATAGCTTTCTTCGTACCTCATCATTATGTCTGAGTTTTAAACAAGTCTTCACAATGAACACTTTTTAATATCAAATTAGCTGAAAGATAAACTGCTTGCCTTATATCGACATATATCAAGACCAATCCACAGCCTTGCAGACTTGGCATTAGAGATGAGCAATTAACTTGATGAACCAGTGTAATCAGTCACATTGTAAAATAATTGATTAATTGAAATTATGATTAAATTGATTAATGTTGCTAAAATAATGAACAAATCAAAATTAGTGTTTCTGATTATTCAACCTATTCAAGTAATCAAAATACTGACATTATTCTCATTATTGTATTTTCAATTAATTCAAACTTGTTCAGCTTAATCAGTTAGTGCCACAAGTCACAAAAACAAGTAACTAATCAAAATTAGTGTTTCCAATTATTATTATTTTGGATTATTCCAACTATCCAAGTCCCATGTAAGAATAACTGATTAGTTGAATCAATACATGAGTCTGGCAATTAATTTATCAAACTCCACTAGTTGTCTACCTCTACTTCACAGAAGTTCAGAAAAGGGAGTGAGGGAATATGTTCCAGACTGATACGCTTATGATCAAAAACCCAAAATCCTTACTAACAACATTATTTACAAAGCATGAAGAGAAAATTTTCTAAACTTGTAACACGTGGTTTGAAACTGTTTTGTTTGCTTAAAGCAAATCAATCATTATAGCAAGTCAGAGCATAAATGAACAATGAAGCAGCAAACGAGAAAATATTAAGTTTCTGTTTTTGTGTCATTTTAGTGTTATAGCAAGTTTCTTGTATTTAAGCAGTCAAATATGAAAGGACTGAACTTTCTCTTAAAGTAGTGACCAACAACCAGATTTTGCACTCTAAAGTTTTGGCCTAGAAGTCATTAGTTCCTTGGACAAAAAAGTTTGTCTGAAGCTCTGCAATCTAATGAAAGGTGACTTAATATTTAAGTACCAATAACATTTATACATTATAGATATCAGCAATAAATAAAAGTAAACTGAAATTTTAACTTTTCTAATTAATTGAAAACACAGCAATATATTTTACTAAACAAGAAAACACCAAATTTTTTATCAACAGAAAAAATTAATCACTTATTTCACTATTTCTTTCTTACTAAAATTTTCAAACTTGAACTAGGTTGATTTTATGAAGTTATCAGCACGTCTTTCCAATAAGTCTAGCTTTTGCAGTTATTCATTTCACAATCTGATAAAATTAACTCAATAAATACGTACATACAAGTTAAAATTGCAATTTTTTTCTGTTGAAATATTTGTACTTCAAAGACAAACATTCTCTTTTGAAAATTTTGATAACTAAAAGATTTATATATTCTTTTCAACTTTGCAGCTTATTCTTTTCTTTTAGAGATCATGTCAAAATCATTCCCATCTACAAAACAAATTATATTCATGGTATTTTTTGGTATTACTAGATTTTTTGTATTGTGTTCTATTAAACATTGGTTTCTTCAACATCTGTGGTGTTTAAAGTGATGGTTGTTATTTATTTGTTAGACCTGATAGTTGAGATAGTTGTAAAATAAAATTTAAATAACCTGACACCTGTTTGTCCACCTGAGGTACTAAAAAATAAAATTTGTGCAATCTTACATAAAATGTCATTAAAAAAAACATAGAAAGTATAATAAGAGTATATAATTGTTTTTCACCTGAGCTTCACAAGCCTGGCCAATGGAAGCATCCATGACAAAAATAATGTTGTCTGGACTCTGTAAACATATACAATAAAATGTTCATTACATTTTATTTGTTTTTTCTTAATTTATTGTGACAAATATAATACATATATCAACTAATTATGAAAACTTTGATGGATTCTTTAACCCCCAATTAAACTACAATGTTTCAACTTTAAACAAAATAACAGATTGATAAAACAGTAACCATTTTCTCTATCAATGTTACAAAATCAGATAATGCAGTTCACTACCACTTGACCTAGAGCCACAAAATTATTTCAGAAATTCTCATTTGTAACATAATTATCAGTTATGGCATGTAATTGAGTTTCATCTTACAACTAATCTACTTCAATCTTATTTTCTTATCTTGCCTCTTTAGCTCTTAATACATGCACAGTGCTTCAAACAAGTGGTCCACCATTATGCATGCTTACCAAAACGTAAAAATGAGGACTGAATCCTCTCACATGCCAGTGCTCTTGTGGACTGCAGATTGTAAAACACTGATAAAAGCTCCCAGCTGAAATTAGCAGTGTGTAAGCTTTTGACTTTTTTTTACTGCAACTTCCATATTTCCTTAAAGGGTTGCCAGTATTAAGACTTTAAAATGAGTAATCATAAAACTCAAATGAATCTTTAAAATTCCTTTGTTCGTTAATTTATGCTAAAGACAATGCATGTGATCAAGCAGGAAAAGCTCCTTCAGTTCCAAAGAAACCACATAAATTTAGTGAGAAGTGGTTGATTGATTAAGACTAGCTGACTGTCAATAAAGAGTAAACTGGAATATGCCTGACTGCTTTAATTTACATGAAATACTAAAATGCTTTCAAGAAATATTACTTGTTCATTTTAACATATTCTTTGTTGTTCAATGCAGACCAAAATAACTCGTATGGTCCACATATGAAATATGTGTTTTTTTTTTCCATTTGAACTACTGTACATGTACAAATATCATGTTATCACCTCTTTTTTTTGGCACGTGTGTAATGTTC